TTATGCTGCACTGGATGGATTAGCAAAGAAAGTACAAAAGACTGGGAGAGGCTAGGGGAGGAGATCTGAAATCCGTGGTGACCAGCTCTCTCAGCTGCAGCCTCCTCTGTCTTTCTCCACAGCAGTGCCCTGAAAGAACTTGTGGAGATGCAGGGTCAGTGACTCAGACAACTTCTGCATAATTCCGTTACTTTTTCAGTCCAGCCTGGCTTCCTGAGGCTGCCTGTAAAAACGGAGATCATGCAGTCAGCCTGAGGTGGCTGCGATCACTGTGAAGCTCTGACAAGCTGGGAATTGTTGTTACACTGTACAATTTCACCTCTTTGCAACTCACCCATTTTTCTTGTTTATCAGGCTCCTTCCTTGTAAACATTGTCCCTGGCAGCTTGGAGTTACTTTTTATTTTATTTTTTTCAGTCTTCCACATGGTAGCCTTTGCTGAAAACACATCATTCTGTGTAGCAGAAGAAAAACTTTGGCAGGCATGGAGGTGTAGCTCAGGATGAGAATCAGGCCCCAACACACTGTGAACAACCAGCTCTTAGTTTGCACCTCAGAACAGCTCCGAACCAATTAATCCCCAGCATTTCACTGCCACAGGATCGTGCAGCCTTTATCTCTGCCTCCAATTCACAGATAAATCGAGGTGCAGCTTCCAAGAGGTTCCCTCAAGGACAGAATCATCATGAACCTGTGCCCAGCTGCAGCTGAGGGCAGTGGCCACTATTGGTGTTGCCAGGCCACAGTGCCCAGGCTGAGCAGCCACAGCTGCCCTCTGCCACCCTGCTGACAGTCTCTGCTGGCCTCACGGAGCTGTTCAAAGGCACTGGCAGAACGAGGCAGCCAGAAGGACTTGGTGCTCCATCCTGCCACGCAGCAGATGCTCAGGGTGGACCAGACACACCACCTTGGCTACAGTCCCTGAGCTGGTGCTGAGTAAGACAAGGCATCCAAGACAACCAGGGCTGGACATTCAACCCAACATTTCCACTCCTGCTGCCAGCCTCACCTCATCTCACCCTCGTCTTCTCTTCCTCCTGTCTGAGTTTCCTGGTGGGAAACAGCCCCCACCAGCCTCCGGTTCTTCCTCCGTGGCAGATCCTGCCTGGGGCTCAGCCCCTCTGTGGTCCTCCAGCTGTGCTCAGGCACCACACCGGGAGGCAGAAGGGCCTGTTGCTGTAGGACACGCTCCATTCTCCTCACCTCCACTTGCAGCCTCAGCCTTCTTTGGCCTGGGACATGCTTGTCCCCGCTCTGCCAGCACACAAGGCTCTGCCTCACCAGCCATCATGCCAGGAGAAACTCAGAGCCACAGCACTCACTTCACGTGGTCGCAGTGCCAGCAAAGGAGCTCACCAGCACAGGCACAAGCAATGGGGAGAGACAGGACAGATGAGAACAGAGCCTTGGCTGCACAGGATGCAGCAGCCACAGGTTTGGGAAGTACCTGCTCTCATCGGCTCACAGTGACAGAATTGGATGCCTCTGAACAACCCCAAATCAGGCAAAGCAGCGCTGACTCCCAAGTCAGTGTGTCAATCCACAAAGTCCGTGAGGCTTGGAGGATTACCTGGGGTTAGGCTTGAAAGAAAAATTCCCTTTTGGTGTAGGCCTGGAACGTGGTGGAGTGCAGAGCAGCAGCACTGCTGTCCCGGTTCAGGTTTGGAGCACAGCCAGGACATACCTCCTGCCCCTCAGGAATGGAACAAGTGTTCTGCTGCCACACACACGGGCACAGCTGGGCCGAGACTACAGCGGAACCTCCATGGCTGCATGACAGAGCTCACATGGACCTCTCCTTAAAGAAGTATACAAAGAGCAGATCATTCAGGTTTGACTTTGCCTCTTGGATTTGCATCCTGAGTCCCTCAAAGCCACAGCACAGGCTGCAATTACAGAAGGGCCTTTTCCAAGCAGCACAGCAGTAGTTTAAGGCGAATTGGATAAACTCCACAGGCCTTCCTGCCCCACAAATCACAACTCAACCCTGCAGCTGGGCTGGGAGAGATCTGAAAATAGAGTGTGGGAACACTCCCCATTCTGTGCATGTCGGAGACTTGAAAAGAAAGAGAAACCCTAATTTGTACTGACATCCCCATGACAAACCAACCACAGCACATACCCCAGAGCTGCGGGACACGGATGGCAGCTTTCTGCACTGCCTCTGCCCCGCTGCAAGGCCTGTGCCATGGAGGCCATGACTGATACCAGGTTTTTTTAGTACCATCTGTTTCTGCCGGACTTTTCAAGCTCTGGTTTATAGATCTGTTTCAGAATAAACAAAACAGCCCTAAATCCACCTCTATCTTGCAGTAGGAACTTCAGGAAGGAGAGTAATTAACTGAGCCTGCAGTGCTAGGAAACCTGTGTCGATAACTGACTGATGAAAAGCAATGATGGATCTTCAGGGGCCCCCACACACACTGGAATTGCTTGTGTACCTTCTCTAAAAGAAGCCCGAAGCAGCTTAAAGCTAACCTAGAATTAAAGAAATTGCACATCTCCCTAACAGCAGTGTAACTTGTTTATGACCTGCTCGGCGCACGTACTGCTTCCCACATCCCAGTTCCCCAGTGCAATCAGCCCGTCACTGCCCCACATCCCATATGGAGAATTCACATCCTACCCATGTTTTATTTTGGCTACACAGTCGCTTTTAGGCACTGCCCATCAGCACGTCTTATATTTGCTAAATTGCCCACATTCCCCAAACAAAGTGACGGAGAAGGGAGTTTGCTGCATTTTCACTCACACAGAAAGGTAGAGGTGGCAAAAAATAGCATGTGAAATTTATAGAAACCCAAACCAGACAGCTTTTGACTGGGGGAAACTCTGAGTTGGTGACTGTGACAGCTGGGGAAAGGGCACAGTACAGAAAAACCCCTGCTAACACTCCCGACACCAGCAAGGCTTGAGCAAACCCCACACCAGAGCTCAGACTCCAAGAAGTTCCCACTCCCAAAGCCTCACCTCATGGGGCCAGCTGGTACAAAACACAACAGTGGAACTGCCTGACCCTTCCCCATGCTGGCTGTGCTGCTGGCAGCGCCTGTGGCTGCACACAATTGCTGTGTGCATTATTCTCTGAGCCATTATTCTCTTCCCCTGCACGTAAGCCAGGACGTCTCAAGGACCGGTGAAGCTGAGCCCTGACCCCACACTGCCACTACTCCCAGACTCACTGACATCATGGACAACAAACCCTCTCCCAACACCCCTGCTCCCATGCATGAACCCCACTCCCTGCCAGCACCTGCCCAGACAACAGTCCGGGGTGCTCCACCCTTCCACAGGACTACTGGCACCAGCTTCCCGGGAGCTCAGTTTCTTTTGCTGTGGTGAGGAGGAGCCCCTTGTGCTGCACCACATCAAGTCCTGCCAGCAAGTCCTTCCCTTGGGCTCTGGCTCCAGTCACCTCGACCCCAGAGATCTGTGTGCAGCTCAGTGCTCGCTCCCTGCATGCTGAAGGAACAGGAACAACCTACACAGCAGTACAGAGCATTTACAACACAGTCAAAAAGAGGAATGAGGAGAATGCAGGAAGGAGCAACTGAATTCGAGAAAGGCAGGACCAGAACAGGACACTAACACTGCATGGCCTGAGAGCCCAGCATCACACACAAGGGGCTGCCTTGAAAGAATTCCAAGTACCTTTTTTTAATTTCTTGACATGGTAAAAGTTTACATACGTTCATCTGGCAAAGAGAGCTGAACAAATTCAAAGGAATCGATACAAAGAAACACAAGGGGAAGTGCTGCTCCCAGACAGCAGCTCAACGCAGTTGGTTTGTTACTGAATATTTATTAGCGGGAAGACTAAGAGTTGACTTACTACAAACAACAACAGAAGAGTCTATAGCAAGGGCCAGCGACCTGCCACACTTCAGGCAAATCCCTGGGAAACCAGCAAGAGCCATGGCTCTTAGATGTGGAAGCAGAAAAAAAAAAACAAAAACAAAGTAAAAAAAAGAAGGGGAGAAAGTTCATTCCATTTGTCACTGTTGTTACAATGAGATTAACACAACTCTTAAGGCTACTGCACAGTAAGAATATACAGATGTAACAGCGAGACCTGGGAAACAGCGAGGTTCCTGAAACAAATGATTTAACATTCCCTGATTAGGGGACTTAAGTAGAAATACTATAAATAAGAAAAATTTGAAGCCTGCAGCGTTATGGGCCCACTTGCCACACACAAAAACTGATGCAACACAACCAGTCATTTCCAAAGGGGTTTGTAATGGACCATGAAACGTTCTGGCAGCTTAGCGGAGTCACCAGGCACAGGAACGTGCCCTTTGCAGGGGAAAGACTGCAAGGTCTGCAGGGTATCAGGTGGGTATTGGCCACCCTCACCCCCGAGCACCAGCTGTGGCAGCCAGCCTGCTCTGCCCAGGCACTGGGGAGCACTGCCAGGGACAGGGGGGCTTGGTCTGACCACATGCAAAGATATTGGGACTTTAGCATCAGACCTCTGGCCCCTCCCTTCCCTCAGCCTGGGCAAAAGCATCTCGTGCTGAAGGGGCACTGGGACGTACGTGAAGAAATAGTTTTAGCCAAGGAAGTGGCTCTAGTCAAATGGCAGAGGAGCAGAAGCCACCTGAGCTCATGAGAGCCAGGACAGCACCGGCCCTGGTTCCAAGCACCGCCTCGTACTCTGCACTGATCCAGACAGAACTGACAAGGCAGAGACCCATAGGGCAAGCTCTGCTGAGCCAGGAGAGAGACAGAAATGGAGTGCAGATTGCTCAGTGGCACTGGAGCATGGCTGTTGCCACTGGCCCCAAGGGGCAGGGTCCCTGGTCAGTGCAGAGCTGGTGGCAGAGGGGCCCAGCCACAGCTGGCAGCAGGGAGGGAGCTCCCCCCCTCTGGGGTGCCGCCCTCTGCCAGGCTGTCTGCCCCATTCCCAGAGACCCCAGTGCAGCCACCAGCCAAAAGGTGGGACAGGACAAGAGCTTGGTCTCTAGCGTTGTTCCCAGTCAGGTAGGAA